TATCGACTAAGGTAAACTCGTAATAGCCTCAAGCATACTAAGTGACGAACTTATCAAGTCGTCAATTCAAATCCAATAGTAGAAGAGGTAGTAAAGGTATTAGAAGTAATCGGAGAGGTTAGGATTAGAAGATATTATTCAACAAGTATGATTCAGTGAGAAAAGTTTAGAAAGTCAAAAGTAGAGGTGTTGAAGAATCCAGAAGATTAGGATTTGAGAGAATACAGAGAATAAATGCACTGGCGCCATTGCGAACGATTTTGAGCCATGTCACTCAAGGTCTCTAACCATCGATTATTATCATCTCGCGGACCCCAACCAGGTAGTCGACAATTACCGACATGGCTAAGTCCACTTGTCAATGACTTCATGGATTTGTGCCATGTTTTTGATTGGCCGCCACTAGCTTTAATCCAACCTATTCCTACACTACAACACAAAGCTCGTCGCAGGAGACGGTGGTTAGGTATACGCAGAACATGTCCTAACCACCTCAACTGACCAAGTTTCATTACTTCATCTATTGATCTTCCATTCTTACCTAGCACCTGATTCCTAATAACAGCGTTGCTCACTCAGGTGTCCCACGATATACGAGCAATGCTTCGCTCAGTGTGATCTATGAGTATCAGACTAATTCAACCATCTCAATGTCGTGATTTAAATCTCGTGTATTGTCTAATCTAACACTACTGGGGAAAGCAGGATTAATATCTGACATCCTTATCTTACTCTCTGTCATATTGAATAGTATTTTTGAATATTATGTCAATCGATAGTAGGTCTATTGTAGCTGTTACATAACTGTGTTACTGTCGAATCTTACTTATATCTTGATGACTTAGCCAAACTAAACCTGACTAGAAAGAATACTTATTCTTATAAGCTTTAGGATGTTATTCAAATTGGTTGCAGAGTGATAAGCATGAAAGACGTTCACTCACAATTCGAAGATATACTAGGCGTTTGATGACAGTAAGGTATCTACTGTTTTTTGGCGACGATGTCTACAACGCTACTGGCATCCTTCATTAAAAGGAGGATGTTACGCATGAACGTAAACATGCCATTTTGATATGCTTGAACTATTACGAGTTTACCTTAGTCGGTAAACGAGACCGACGATCAAGGATCTGGAGACACGACATGCTACTCTAATCCGAGTACCCCATTGAATAAAAGAAGACTAGATATGAAGTAGAACGGGTATTCTACAAAACATCCAGAAATTACGTAGTCCGAGTCCAGAAGAGAATCAGGATCCCAGACTAAGGATCCGGGTTCGGGTCCCAAAACGTTACAGATAATGCATATTTATACATTTAGGTCGAATAGCAAAAAACAACGAACTATGTGGCATTGATAGTTAGGACGACCGATAGGAATCGGCCAATAGAACTAGACATACAAATAAATCTCTTCGGATATTGGATAAATATCCTAAAAAAGAAAGTAAAATAAAGGCTCGGTTCTATTAAAAGCACACCTCATTGAACTTTTCAGATTTCCATTAACAGCTGATAAGGTCTGGAACGTACAGTGGTAAAATATCAAAAAAGATATTTTAATACTGTACGTTCCAGACCTTATCAGCTGTTAATGGAAATCTGAAAAGTTCAATGAGGTGTGCTTTTAATAGAACCGAGCCTTTATTTTACTTTCTTTTTTAGGATATTTATCCAATATCCGAAGAGATTTATTTGTATGTCTAGTTCTATTGGCCGATTCCTATCGGTCGTCCTAACTATCAGTGTCACATACTTCGATGTCGTTTCCTATTCGGCCTAAATGTATAAATATGCATTATCTGTAACGTTTTGTGACGCGGACCCGGATCCTTAGTCTGGGATCCTGATTCTCTTCTGGACTCGGACTACGTAATTTCTGGATGTTTTGTAGAATACCCGTTCTACTTCATATCTAGTCTTCTTTTATTCAATGGGGTACTCGGATTAGAGTAGCATGTCGTGTCTCCAGATCCTTGATCGTCGGTCTCGTTTACCGACTAAGGTAAACTCGTAATAGTTCAAGCATATCAAAATGGCATGTTTACGTTCATGCGTAACATCCTCCTTTTAATGAAGGATGCCAGTAGCGTTGTAGACAATCGTCGCCAAAAACAGTAGATACCTTACTGTCATCAAACGCCTAGTATATCTTCGAATTGTGAGTGAACGTCTTTCATGCTTATCACTCTGCAACCAATTTGAATAACATCCTAAAGCTTATAAGAATAAGTATTCTTTCTAGTCAGGTTTAGTTTGGCTAAGTCATCAAGATATAAGTAAGATTCGAAAGTAACACAATAATGTAACAGCTACTATCGACTGACATTGTATTCAAAAAAACTATTCAATATAACAGAGAGTAAGATGTAAGGATGTCAGATATTAATCCTGATTTATGACGTATTGTCACATTATGACTTTACATGAGATTTAAATCACGACATTGAGATGGTTGAATTTAGTCTGATACTCATCGATCACACTGAGTTATATTTCAGTTCATTTATAACACAATTCGGTTACATATCCAAACTACATGTAATAGTCACAATGATTCCGACATGAATGTTTGTTTGTTACAATTGCGTAATTTAATTTAAATGTAAAATAACGGGGAAATTTTCCAGTTCAAATCAATTCTTTTAATGTTGTTGAATTCCATGCGCTGGATAATCTGATTGTTCAATTTTCCATTGAAGCTTTCTTTAGGCAAGGTGTATACATTACTTTTATTCATCTTTTTTTAATGTATGTTACATTTTGTGAAATATCAGTTATTTTTGGGGTAGAGTTTTGGAAGTTTGTGTTTTTACACAATTGAAGTGATCAATCAATCGTTGAGAGCTCACCACCATTAGAACCTGTAAGCACTGAAAGACGGCCGTTTCGTCCTGGTATGTAACTCATCGTCAGTGCGCATCCACGACTCTTGCTCCTCGCGGGATTCGAGGTCCAGTGGTCCAATGGTTAGGCGTTCGCGCACAATACTGAAGTTTTCGGGTTCAAATCCTGCGAGGAGCAAGAGTCGTGGATGTGCACTGCCGATGAGTTCCATATCAGGACGAAATGGCCGTCTTTCAGTGCTTCCAGGTTCTAATGGTGGTCTAATAATGATTGATTGATGATTTCAAATGTGTAAAAATATCAGTTACTCAAAAGCGCGCTCACACACGCACACAAAATAACCATGGATATCAGTGACTAACAGACAAATTCGAAAGACATGTGAATAATAACTCCAGGAGAATGGATTGATTGATTTGTTTAAGGACCGCAACAAGCCCTATGGGCTCAACATACCAGTGTGTACCATAACACGTCTTTAGCAATCAGGTGTTGGATGACAATATTTTTACAATTCACAATTATATTAATTAACCATCTAATGTCAAGGCCAATTGTGTGTTGGTTTTCAGGAGAACCAAGGAGACTGCCAATGTGTTAGTATTTCGACATGAACACTTCGGCTCGATCCAGTGATGCAACCACACAGAGGTAGGTACCTGACATCCTGGTTGACCTAGTGTGGATGGCACCGACTGTTAAATGTTAAATTATTATTCATGAAAATATAAATTCTCCCGATGAGTTAGTTACACATCTACCAGTCACAATCTAAATTACTCTAAAACTCTTACTATCAGAAGAAATGAAATAACACAATGTTTCATCAGTTAAAGAGGGCGCGGATTGGCAAAGCAAGGGCTGCATTTCTACAGTTGAAAAATATCTGGAACTCCAAACAACTTTCAACCAAAACCAAAATCAGGATTTTCAATACAAATGTCAAGACAGTTCTACTATATGGAGCGGAAACTTGGAGAACTATGAAAGCCATCATCCAGAAGATACAAGTGTTTATTAACAGTTGTCTATGCAAAATACTTCGGATTCGTTGGCCAGACACTATCAGCAACTACATACTGTGGGAGAAAACATACCAGATTTCATTGGAGGAGGAGATCAGGAAGAAGAGGTGGAAGTGGATAGGACACACACTACGAAAAGCACCTAACTGCGTCTTACGGCAAGCCCTCACATGGAACCCTCAAGGCAAAAGGGAAAGAGGAAGGCCAAGGAACACATTATGCCGAGAAATAGAGAAAGATATGAGATGAATGAACAAACATTGGACAGAACTGGATAGGGAAGCCCAGGACAGAGTTTGTTGGAGGGAACTGGTGGGTGGCCTATGCTCCTTTATTGGAGGTAACAGGCGTAAGTAAGTAAGTAAGTAAGTAAGTAAGTTAATCAGTTAAAACCTTTCATAAATTTTTTAACTTTATTTTTTTCTATAAATCCAAAGGTCAAACTTATATGTCCATTAGTTGGAACACAAAAGGTTAAATCATGGTTATGGCGTGAACCTGTATTGCCTAGTTCAACAGAATATGCTCAACTGCCACAAGGACGTCCACCTAGTCGTACAGTTACAGCTAATCAACCTGGTTTACATGAAGGTAAACATGTCGAGATTGGTCCAAATTTATTATGGGCACGTATCGTTGATCCATTGTCACCGGAAGCACCAGTTAAATTATGGTGTCAATTTATTATGCCTTCACCATGGGAAAATAAAGTTAGTTTGTGAATTAATGTAGATTTTATTGCTATATTTATTAAAACTTATATATATATATATATATATCCCGTTTCAGTCACTTATAGTATGTGTGTGGTAGTAATTCTGTGTCTTCATTAACTATGATAATCGTTAACAGGAAATGATAAACTTAACAAAATTTTATTAAATAATGAGATTTAAACTTTTATTTGAGATATATATATTGTGTGTTTATTGTGGACTAATATCAATTTGGTGGTGGTCATCGGTATTCGTTAGAAGTCCCCTACTTACTTACTTACTTACTTACTTACTTTTGCCTGTTACCTCCAATGGAGCATAGGCCACCGACCAGTATTCTCTAACCTACTCTGTCCTCGGCTTTCATTTTCAATTATATTCAATTTCCGTTCATTCTTCTCATATCTATCTCCATTTTCTCGGCATGTAATGTGTTCCTTGGCCTTCCTCTTTTCCCTTGACCCTGAGGGTTTCAAGTGAGAGCTTGTCTTGTGGTGCAGTTGGATGCTTTCATCAGTGTGTGTCCTATCCACTTCCAGCGCTTCTTTCTGATCTCCACCTCCGCTGGAATCTGGTTTGTTCTCTCCCATAGTAGGTTGTTGCTAATGGTGCCTAGCCAACTTATCCGAAGTATTTTGCACAGACAACTGTTAATAATTACTTGTATCTTCTGGATGATGACTTTGGTAGTTCAGTTCTTCAAGTTTTCGCCCCATTCAGTAGAACTGCCTTGACATTTGTTATTGAAAATTCTGATTTTAGTGTCAACTAATAGTTGTTTTGAGTTCTAGATGTTGTTCAATTGTATAAATGCAACCCTTTCTTGTTGGTCAGTCTATATTCATTAACTATGATAATTGTTACCAGAAAATGATAAACTTTACAGAATTTAATTAATAAATGGGATGCTTGATGTGTGGCCTCATCAATTCAATATAATTCCTTAAGACTTCGTATTTACTGCCATTTCTCCTGATAAACGTTACTAGACAACGCCCAACGGTGTACACACTTCAGAAAATGGATACGAAGCGTTGATTACATTTAGTATCACACCACACACAAGCACACAAAGCGAAAAGGAAGTGGGAGCGCTGAAGAGTAAGTAACAGTAGTAGGATTATAAAATATATACCTACCTACTTAGGAAAGTGAATGAAACGAGTCATTGAATTATCCTAAGCGTACTAAAATATTTAAAACGAGTAGGCGGTAAGCTGATATAACTCTAGGCCTTTATATGTTCAATGCAAAAGAAAGATGACGGGAAAAAGCATAATACGGTACTACAGATAAGGTTATATTGCTATACAACGCAAATGACCGTCTGTTAAAATGAAGGCGCTTCACTAATAAAAAGGGCTTAATCAAATATGAATCAACCTACTGCGGGAGACAACAAACCAGATTGCAGTGGAGGAGGAAATCAGGAAGAAGCGATGGAGTTGGTGGATAGGACACACACTACGAAAAGCACCTAACTGCATCACGAGACAAGCCCTCACATGGAACCCTCAAGGCAAAAGGAAAAGAGGAAGGCCAAGGAACACATTATGCCGAGAAATAGAGAAAGATATGAGAGGAATGAACAAACATTGGACAGAACTGGAGAGGGAAGCCCAGAGCAGAGTTGGTTGGAGAAAACTGGTGGGTGGCCTATGCTCCTCTATTGGGGGTAACAGGCGTAAGTAAGTAAGTAAGTAACCAAATATAAATGATGAACAAACGTAAATGTTTTATGTGGGGTATTACACGTTGGTCGGTATATACAATCAATAACTTTTCATTATCATTAATGTACTTCCTTCTTCCAAACAATAATTAGTCAAGATTTTTTTCTGATAACATGATTGTACAATAATCAATATTAATGTTAATGCAACTACAAGTGAATATCATTTAGGAGTTTTAATCTTGAAGTTGCATACTATCTATATTTCGTATGAAATAAACTCACTATTAAACTGTACATAAATTGTTAAATTAGAAAGAGTTAATGTAAGTGAGTAATTTGGCTGTCCGGTTTGAGAAAATTTTTTATCAGTTAAGTTTGAAAAGTGATTTGATATTAATGTACTTTGGTAATATAGATTTTTAAAACCTAGTCAATAACATAAGGGAATTGTTATACTTGTCACTTGCTATGCTTGAAACTACTATTACGAGGTCACCTTAGTCGATAAAAACGAGAATGAGATAATGAACCAGTGTCCGGGTATAGGCTACTCTGATCCATTGACCCAAAGGAACTAACGAAAAAGTTTCGATATAGTGTAGAAAGTGTATTCTACAAACATCCAGCAAGCACACAATGAATCCAAGCACTCAAATCGCGTTTATTTATACATCATAGAAACGTCCTTGGGAGAGTTACGAAAGTAGCACACTAAAATAATACACCGACCAATCACAGTGAAGGATTTTCCCAGGTGGGAAATGTGATCTCAAAGTCAACTGATCGCCCTTGAATAAGATGCAAAATTAAGATATTTATCGAGCGAGTTCTGGGGGTCTAACGTCCCCAACAGGAAGAACGTTGAATGTTCCATTGGGATCTGGTTTGTTCTTTCCCTCAGAAGGTTGTTGCTGATTGTGTCTGGCTACTGAAAGTTATGGTGACTTTAGAGTTAAACACTTGAAAACACTAATACATTATACTTTGACAGTGTCTTTATGCACGAATTCAGGTCAGCATTAAGTAAATAAAAGTGTGAAAAGATGTTTGATTTAAAGTTATGGTTGATGTTTACTCATTTACACTTCACTGCTAATCTCTCAGTGTCAGTTATCTTATGGTAAAGTACAATTCTTAGTCAGTGAGGTTGATTTTACAATAAAGTTATATGACGTAAAAATGAAATATATATATTTTTTTACAAAGACAATCTGGTTATCTGATCACCAATGCTTCTGATCTGTTATATTTCTCCCTGTTAAAACTATACAATAAGGGAATATCAAATCAATAGAATAGTAGATTTTGTTTGAATTGGTTTGCCAGTTGAGAAAGCCGTGGTTATTGTAACATATACGAATTGATTCTTCCTTATTGTCAATAGTTGATTTTGAAGTTCATGTATAGTGAACGAGAACACAGGTAAGGGAAACCGAATTGTATTTAGCGAAAATTACAGAGTTATTCAGTAAAATCGGAAAACCATATCGTAAATCGTTCATTTGCAAAATATCAATCCATCATATCGAACTGGACTGTTCCTGCTGCAAAACATCAATCCATTGTCTGACATTTCACTTATTCATGCGTTTCATACAAATTTCATTGTGTTCCCACTCTTCCTTTCTCTTGATCTTCCTCCATCTTCTGCTGCCACCAGACATTACGTTTTCACTCGCGTCATATACTACTTATAAGTAGCTCACACCACACATGTAGCGGTAACCAGAGACAGTGACCGACTTTCTACGAAAAACCAGTCTAAGTGACTCGAATTTTCTCATAAACTTTATTTTGTTTTAGGCATTCGAGGAAAATTCAAGTAACAGGTGCTCAGTGGTACAGAACGTTGGATCACACTTACTTACTTCTGTTACCCTTTTTTGGAGCATATACCCCGAGTTAGGGAGATAATTGTTGATTGCTGAAATCATGAATTAATCATTGTTAGACCATCAACATTAGAAACTTGGAAGCACTAGATGGCTGTTCCGTTCTGGTATGGGACACATCAGAAGTGCGTATCCATGACTCTTACTACTCTCAGGACTTGAACCCAAGACCTTCGGTCTTGTGCGCAAACGCCTAACTTTTGCACCATTGTTAGAGTCTAACTTTGATCAATCTAAGGATTTTGCACAAAAATCACTGATTCATGATTTCAGTTATAAACAACTATCTGTTGGTGACGTTAGATCCCCAGAACTCTCGTGATAATGCCTTATTTTGGATTTATGTTTCCGAGCATGTGCTGATCAGTTGACCTTAAGATCGCATTTCCCACCAGGAGTGTGATTGGCTACTGTGTTGTTTCAGTGTGCTATTTTTATGACTCTCTCTCTCTCTATGATGTATAAATAAACGCGATTTGTGTGCTTCAATGCATTTTGCCTGCTGGGTGTTTGTAGGATATACTTTCTAAGCTTATCAAGACTTCTCTTTAGCCGTTTCGGATCAAGGTAACCTACCTGGACGCCGGTTCATTGTCTCGTTCTCGTTCAAGTGTACCTAGCGACGAACCTGACACTATCTACGTAACCATATTATATTCTAAATCGTGCAGTGTGCCCACTAGTGACTAGTTTCGTGAGGAAACTCTTGGAATTCTAGTAAAAAGACGTGATCAGTGAAGTTCAATCCTGTCGGATGTAGGCAGTAACTACCAAAGAAAATGGATGAGGTTTGCATACCGTTGCATACAGGGTCAGTGTTTGGAGATTAATCTTGCGCACGCAAAACTGAAGGTTCTGGTTTCAAATCCTGCGGGCAGTAGGAGTCGTGGATGCTCACTGCTGATGAATCCCATAGCGTGATGAAATTGCCGTACATTACTTCCAGGTTTCTAATGGTAGCCTAACAATGATTTATTCATGATTTCAGTAATATATGTATACTTTTCACGTACACACAAAATACATTTTGTCACGATTATCAACACAGAAGCCATTAATAATAAATGAAATCTTGCTAATTATTTCATTTAAACTAAGAACTCTTCAAATAGCACGCATTCATCATAAAGCTACAAACAACTGAATCAAATTTTATCCGATTTCGTTCATAAACATAATAAATTTTAAAGCTTTCAATCAATCTATTTGTAAAACTATAAATCTACACTCTATTTATAAGACAATAATAAACCTCTTGAGATTTATACACATACAAAATCTATTTGCTTATATAAAATTAATTAGGCAAACTGAAGTAAACAACTGGGCTAATTTTTCCTTTGAAAAAAAGTGATTTATAGAATAAGATTTTCAAGAGTTATTCGTCAGTGCTCAGTTAGTTAGTTACTCATTGATTGATTATTTGTAATGCATTATTTGCTTCAGTCATTTCAAGTTCTGTATGACAAACTAGTCAATGTGGTTTAAGTTAAAAATAATGAGTCATTAAGGCAAAAAGTTGATATTGATCTGTGCAATTTTCATAATGATTAGTTAAGTTTTATAAGTTCTTACACACATTTTTGAAACTATGAATTGATCAATGTTAGACCATCACCATTAGAAAACTGGAAGCACTGAAAGACGGCCGTTTCGTCTTGGTATGGCACTACTCATCAGTGGCAGTGCGCATCCCCGACTCCTACACCTCGTAGGATTCGAACCCGAGACCTTCGGTATTGTGGGCGAACGCCTAACCATTGGACGGACCACTGGGCCGGTATTTAACGGTGTTAATGTCTAATTTAATCAATTCACGGAGTTCCGCAACCTCATACATAGTCTTCGGGAGTTACTATCTACACCCGAACAGGTTGAACTTCACTGGTAACGTCTTCCCACTAGAACTTGGAGAAGATACCTCACGAAGCCAGTCACTAGTGAACACAGGTAATTTGTATTACGAGGTTGTGAAGATTGGTAATTTACACATTTTCGAAACCATGAATCGATCATTGTTAGACCCTCATTAGAAACCTGGAATCACTGGATGGCCGTTTGGTCCTAATATGAAACTCATCAGAGGCAGTGCACATCCATGATTCCTGCACCTCGTAGCATTCGAACCCGGGACCTTCGGTATTGTGCGCGAACGCCTAACCACCGGACCACCTGGCTGGCATCCAACGGTCTGAATGTCTAACTTGATCAATTCGCGGGACGAAATGGCCGTCCAGTGCTTCCAGGTTTCTAATGGTGGGTCTAACATTGATCGATTCATGGATTCAAAAATAAGTAACTTAACAATCTTCACAACCCCGTAATGCATATTACCAAACTTACCATTATGATGTATGTATTAGTGTATATTTACTTGTGCAATTACTCTTTGCGTCAATTTATTATTTCCGGAGAATTAGTTGACATTTTACTTAGGTTAACGTTTTAATTATTTGCGCGATTAAAAATAATGAAGTTGCCACAAAATGCTCAATTTGAAATTGTTATGCATGAACGTAAACAGGTCAATTTGATATGCTTGAATTATTATTACGAGTTTACCTTAGTCGGGAAACGAGAGAGAGCGAGGATTGAGGATCCGGAGACACTACATGCTAGTTTAATCTGAGTGTCCTAAGCCCCACTGAATAAAATAAGAAGAGTTGGTTTGCAGTAGAACTTGTATTCTGCAAGCATCCAGAAAGTACGAGGTCCGAGTACAGAAGAAGGCAGGGAACCCGGACTAAGGATCTGGGTTTGGGTTCGGGTCATAAAACGTTACAGATAATGCATATTTATACACTTAGGTCGAATAAGAAACAGCATTGAAGTATGAGATATTGACAGTTAGGTTGACTAACAGGAAACAAAATTTGAAGTGACATTGATCGTTAGGACGACCATATTATTGACCAATAGGAATCGACCAATAGAATTTACACTTAAAAATGTGATGTTGGTGAACAAAAGTGATTTAAATAACAGAGATATAGACATTATGTGAATTTCATTGAAATTACATATTGATCATTGTTAGACCACCGATTCGAAACCTAGAAGCATTGGGTGAGGTTGCACAATACCCTGGATTGATCAGAAGTAGACATTAACACCACTGGATGTTGGCTCAGCGGTCTAAAGGTTAAGAATTCGCGCGTGCAACCAAAGGTTTTCAGTGTGGTTCTCGCGAGCGAGCGAGGGTTGTGGATATACAATGTTGATAAGCCTCATACTGGGACGAAACGGTCGTCCAGTAATTCCAGGCCTCTCTTTGATAGGCTAACAATGTAGTTGCACAATATTGTAGATTGATCAAAGTTAGACATTACCACTGTTTGTTGCCAGATCAGTTAAGTGTTCGCTCATGACCAAAGGTCCTGGGTTTAATTTGCACTGTTTAATTTAACTGAATGAAGTTGATAAATATTTATCTTTGTACTTACTAAATCAATTTTCCCCATAATTTCACTTACACAGGATCCAATTATTGCTTATTATGAAATTGATTGGGAATTATATGAACCAATATCACCACAAATTTATATTCTACCAGATGATAAACAATTTCATTTGAATTATGATGAATTCAATCAAAATTTCACTAAATCTATTCAACCACCCAATCAACAACAACAACAACAAGATCATAACGCAGCTAATGCTTATCGTATTAATACACAAATTGATCATTTGTCCAATACAAAACATACTAATCAATCGTCATCATCTATACTATCATTACTAGAGAATAAACCAGCCCGCATAGTCTGTCGATTTCGATCGATACCACTGACTGGTGGTGCCAGTGGCGGCGGTGGTGTTGTCAATGGTATACCATCGAATAATTCACAGCCGAATGTATTCTTACAATTACAAAATGTCTATTGGTATCGTAATGGTCAGCCAGTGCATGTTCCACCATTCTATGTCGATAATTCATTGATACATCCATATGGTCTGTCCATATTATCTGTACGTGCTTATCCAACTGGATTGAATTTTAGTAATAATATTAATGAGAAATTTGCCGCCACAACAATGATAATGAATTCAGCTGGAGATAAGAATAAATTACCATCTATTGAACATTTAACATGTTCTGTAATAAGTCGTGTGAAAGAAACACCAATTTATAAAGTAACTACAAATGCAAGGTGAGTTTATTATTATTCATATTAGCGGATATTTTTTTTAATATACTGTAGTGAAGGAGAACACAGGTGAGGGTAACCGAATTATGTATTCCAACGAAAATTACAGAGTAGTTACTCAGTAAAATAGGGAAAAACCATATCGTAAATCGTTAATATCAGTTCATCATATTGAACTGGACTGTTGTTCCTGTTGTAAAAACATTAACAATCCATTGTCACTCACTATTCATGTGTTTCATACACAAATTCCATTGTGTTCTTCTAACTCTTCCTTTCTCTTGATCTTCCCCCCCCCCCCCATCTTCTGCTGCCACCAGATATTACGTTGACTGACACTCACGTCATATACTACTACTTATAAGTAGCTCGCACCACAACATAAAAGGAGATAAAGAATGATGATACTTGAATAAAATGTTGCCTAAACTTGAAGAATTATTCAAATATCCTAACAGTGCTCACTAGTGACGACTAGCTTCGTGAGGAAATTCCACGGAGTTCTAGTTGAGAAGATGTGACCTGAGGGAGTTCAACCATGTCGGGTGTAGGCAGTATCTACCAAAGACAAATGGGTGAGGTCGCGCAAAATCTGTAGATCAATCAGAGTTAGACATTAACACCGCTGGATGCCGGCCCAGTGGTCCGATGGTTAGGCGTTCGCGCACAATACTGAAGGTCCCGGGTTCGAATCCTGTGAGGTGCAGGAGTCGTGGATGCGCACTGCCATTGATGAGTTCCATACCAGGACGAAACGGCCGTCTTTCAGTGCTACCAGGTTTCAAATGGTGGTGTCTAACAATGATTGATTGATAATTTCAAATGGGTTTAAAACACAAAACCTCCAAAACTCTTCCCGAAAACTTAAAAATGCCTGTAGAATATGAAGGAAGAAGAATATTTGTCTCGTTTACACTATATTACTTCTGAATGCTAACAATAATATTGTCCATTAAAAGTTGTACGTATGCACTTACTGACGCCTGTTACCTCCAGTGGAGCAGAGACTACCGACCAGTATTCTCCAACTTACTCTGTACTTTCTAGTTCTATCCAATTGTTGTTCATTCTGTCGGGGATGTTAGATCCTCAGAGCTCGCATGATAAAAAAATGCCTTATCTTGGATTTCACGTTTTGCGAGCATAGGCATATATAAACAAACGAGAGTTGTGTGCGTAATTGTATTGAGCTTTCTGGGTGTTGTAGAATATACTTTCTACGCTTATGAAGTCTTCTGTTCTACAATTCGGGATTCAAGGTAGCCTACCTGGACGCTGGTTCACTGTCTCGTTCGTGTTTATCGACTACGGTGAACTCGTAATAGCTTCAAGCGTACTTAGTGACGAAGGTAACACATTCTTTTCATGTTTGCTTACAATTCTCGATGTATTGTGTTCTTTGAATTAGAAGATTAGATTTAACTAACCTAAATCCGAATAGGATGAAAACAAGATACAATTTAGCGCGAAATTTTTGAAAACTAGTCTCTCTGAATATAGAAAGATATGAACAAATGCCTTAATGGCGCAGGTGCATTCATTCTTTATGTTCTCTCAAATCCTAACATTCTGAATTCCTCATCACCTTTATCTTTTTTTCTTTTTACGTTTATTTCACTAGATTATACTTCTTGAATAATATCGTTAAACCGTAATCTCTTCGATTACCACTAATACTTTTACTGCCTACGGGATTTGAATTGACAATTGCATCTCTGTGCTAATTTGGTATGGCAACTTGGACTGATGTACGTGCGTACGTACGAAGTTCTACGTTGCTGCTAATCGAATGATTGTTTGAATGCCTTAATGAAGTTTTAAATAACAGTCTAATTGAGTTTAGTGAACAATAAATCCGCAGTGTTTTAAATTCAAACAAAGTTTACTGAATAAAATTTCTTATGTCAGAAATGTCTATTTTGTTTCTACTAAAATCTCAGTAATTGAATCAATAAGGAAATCATTTAGTTTGTTCACATTTACACAAATTCATCTATTCATTAAAATTCACTACTGTTAGTGGGACATAGATTGGATTAACGTGTGGTTGCGTTGTTGCATCTTGATTGGCTCTTTCGTATCCAATCAAAGTTAGTGAATATTGGGGGAACATTCTAGAATCTTCTCATGTAAAAAAAACTATAAATGTACTAACTTCTTCTCTCTATGTACCTTCTGTCTGCCATCTAACCTTGTTATTTGGATAGAATCTCTATTTCCTGTTCAATCGTGTTCTGATTTTGGGAGAACGTTTCGAGTAAATAGCTGGGTTGTAATCATAAAGAGAGAAATATAACAACCACTCAGCAAAATAACAGACGACCTAGTGTACATTTTTGTTCGTGGTTAGAAAATGATAGAATGAAGTCAATGAATAACTTGCTTTAAAATAAGTTTGCATGTCTGATAACACTGTTTTCGTTTGTTATGAATGATTTAACCTTGAAACAAGGATGAACTTAACAATTTTACATTGGTAGTGTTTCGTTCTCCGAGTTGGATGTTTTGGTTGTGGAGGTTTCATTGTTATTCTTCTAAACAACATCATCAGCACAAACTTCCGGTTGAAATGAAGTATTCTAATTTCATTATGTACGACTCGTAGCTTGTTCTGTCGCTGTTGACCTTAAACCTGTCGGTGCCAGCAAGATCAACAAGGTTAACAGAACAAGGTACGAATCATTCGTGGACAAATTTGAATACTTCACTTCTATCTGAAGTTTGTGCTGATGATGTTGTTCAGAAGAATAACAATGAAAGCTCCACAATCACCCATCTGAGCTATACCATCTCACTATTCAAGACTGCCTTTCAGGTGAATCAAGCATTTTCGCTTGAAGACATTTATGATTCAGTGTGAATTCTAAGAGGCATACTCGATTTTCATTTATCTTAAAATATCGTTTCTTATATGTTTGAATTCATTGCATGAATCTGCGTAGTGTAAACATTTTTTTGAATAGTGAATGAATTAGACGAATTCCTGACCATAGCTACAACGTTGACGTGGTGGTCGAGCTTGCCTATCGTGATGACCTAATTGAGCTATACTGGCTGGAACACATGTTCCTGTAGGTTCTACTTTGCCAGGCAGGTCAATTGGAGACCTTGAATGACATGGTTCAAAATCGTTCACAGTGGTGCAGGTGCATTCATTCTTTATGTTCTCTCAAATTCTAATCTTCTGAATTCCCCAGCAGCTCTATCTTTCTCTTTCTAAAGTTATCTCACTGTATTATACTTCTTGAATAATATCTTCGAACCCTAATCTTTTCCATTACTGCTAATACTTCTACTGTCTCTACCACTATGGGATTTGAAGTGACAAATGCGTCTCTGGTGATGAGGTACGGCAACCTGAACTGATGTCCGTACGTACGGAGTACTACGTTGTAACTGACTGACTGATTAGACAAATTAATCTGTATATAGAATATTCTTTATTCAAGGAGGTTTTAGAAAGTCTACAGAAAACCTGTACCTCATGTTTGTACTAGTTGATGTTACTATTCAACAAATTGTACCCATACAATTAAGCAGATTGAATTTCTCTCCGGAGTATGAACTTGCATCACCTACTTTTACATTCTAAGAGGTTACCACTCAGCTGGCGACTAACCTCGTATTTAGGATGAAGATATTGACACAGTTGGATTGATCAGTGAGAATGACCAGTGTCATATTGAACTACAGTCTTTTACTGTCAGTTGTATCTTTACTGACTTTTCTACACTTTTCCTTTCATCAAAATTACTCATCTCATTTCAAAAGTTAAGGTAGTATAGTGAAGGAGAACACAGATGAGGTCAGCCGAATTATATTTATCTCAAATTACAAAGTTAATTGGTAAAATAGAAAAACCATATCGTAAATCGTTAATTTGCAAAATTTCAATCCATCATATCGAACTGAACTGTTCCTGTTGCAAACATCACAATCCATTGTCTGACATTTCACCACTGTTCATGCTATTTCATACAAATCCCATTTTTGTGTTCCCACGCTTACTTTCTTGATCTTCCTTCATCTTCTGCTGCCACCAGACATTACGTTTTCACTCGCGTCATGTACTACTTATAAGTAGCGCGCACCAGAGTAGAACAAATAACCTGAATTAACATGTAGTGAACGAGAACACAGGTGAGGGCAATCGAATTGTATTTAACGAAAATTACAGAGTTACTCAGTAAAATAGGAAAACCATATCGTAAATTGTTCATTTGCAAAATATCAGTTCATCATATCGAACTGGACTGTTCCTGTTGCAAAACATCAATCCATTGTCACTATTCATGTGTTTCATACACAAATTCCATTGTGTTCTTCTAACTCTTGTTTTCTCTTGATCTTCCCCCATCTTCGGCTGTCAGACATTACGTTGACGCTCACGTCATATACTACTTATAAGTAGCTCGAACCACAAACCTACCTAATAATACAATTTCTTCACTGATAATGACAATAAAATATATGTTGAGCTTTATATAAAACAATGAAATAGATTGTTTTAATGTTTTGTTTTTTAATTCAATTATCAATATTCTCAAATTATCATTAAACTTAATGAATATTTAATCCCAAAAAAGGAATATTTTCAATGAGTTGATCAATTAATTTCGCTTCATTTCGTTTCATAATCATCTACATTGTTCTTAAATAGATTATATCGATTAAAGATTTTGTTTTTTTTCTCGTAACGCCTAACCTTTGCATGATTAGTATTTTTATATTACATGTCTTTGTTAATTAAGTTTTTTAAAAAAGTAAGTGCTTTAAAAAAAGTTGGCAAATTTGTTTAGATATAATTCATTATTGATGAGTAGTAGTGTGGTGCGCGCTACTTATAAGTAGTATATGATGCGAGTAAAAATGTAATGTCCGGCAGTAGAAGATGGGTGAAGATCAAGAAAGAGGAAGAGTGGGGGGAACACAATGGAATTTGTATGAAACGCATGAACAGTGGTGAAATGTCAGACAATGGATTGATGATGGATTGAAGATTT